CCCGATATTTCCTCTTCATATTGGGTATACCAGGATGGCCCTATGGGCCGGATCCAACCACATCGTGGGCCGGATCCAGCCCACAGGCCTTGAATTTGACACTCCTGGACTATAGAAGGCTCCCCTGTCCTCCATTGTCTCCTGGAGTTTGCCCATGTTCATTGTGTCAGTGACATTGTCTAATAACCTCATCCTCTGCTGTCTCTTTTTCCTTTAATCTTTCCCAACATCGGGGTCTTTTCCAGTGAGTCCTCTCTTCTCAATAGATGGCCAAAGCATTTGAGCTTCAGTTTCTCAAAGGGGCTAATGAAGAAAAGATAGCCTGGAATGGAACTGGAATGGAATGTCTGTGCAAAGAAATAAAGAGAATGAGCAAGAAAGATGGCCTAAGATTTGCTAGAGCACAGAGGGATGTGCAAACACAAATGGGCTAACCATGATGCTTGTCAAGTAGTTACATTTTTGGAAAAAATGAAATACCTGTTCTTGCAATATGTTTCCCTATGCAACACTTTATAATGCTGCAAAGAGGAAAGCAATGATTCTCCTCGGGAGCTTTGTGGTAACCTGTCCTCTGTTGGTCTCCCTAATAAAAGAGGAATTCTCTCTAAAAGATGCTGAACGCAATTAGACTTGCTCTTCTCTTTCAGGGGGGAAACATTTATTTATAAAATGCACATGCTGCCAAAACTTTAAAGATTTATAATATTTATACCTGGAAGATACTTTTTTCACTGGTTGTGATCCTGCACCCCCTGATGAATCGGCACCTCCTTGCTGGCCTGCAGATTCTTTTTCTTTCTCAGCTGCTTCTTTCTCACGTTCTTCTGAATAATAAAGGATTCCCAAAAAGAAACATGGATTGATATAGTCAAATATTATTGTATTACATCAAAAGTCTCCAAACTTGGCAACTGTTAAGACTTGTGGACTTCAACTCCCAGAATTCTCCAGCCAGCATAAGTACAGTTGCCAAGTTAGGGGACCCCTGCATTATATGAAAAAAGATGAACTCCTGGTTTTCATGGTAATACTGCCACCTACTGAAAAAAAATCAGTTAAATCTCTGCAAATTCCTGTTTGGTTAATCATTCCAAATATATAAATTAAACAGATCAGCCCAGAGTTTTCAGAACTGAACTATCAGAAGACCAATAAAAAAACCCGAAACATCTAAAAATATTTTTCTCCAAAAAATTTCAAAAATTCTTTCTTTCAAAAATTCACAAATTTTAAATGTTTGAGTTGGATAGTACTTTGGATGACTATTTTGGATAGTAAAACAAGCTAACACTAAGCCAAGTAAACTTTAGCCATCACTGCTTTTTCTTAGTTGCTAAAACATTGCTGCAATTTTTATTTTATTGTAATTCCTTTGAGCCAGTGGAGTAGAATGGGACTTCAATCAAATAAGTAATGCAATTATTTATATTGTTATCTTTTAAAAATATAACTAGTTTGTCTTATATTACAGAATGAAAAAGAAATTTAAAGTTCCATCTAACATTCTAGCAAACTGTGGTTTTCATATAGTATGTATGCATATTAATTTTGATAACTCTAACTTATTTTTAACAATGTGGCGGTCCTGATTCTCGGTCTTCAGTGTAAATACAGGCAGGAAAATGTACATTTAATGCTCAAAACAAAATAAAGTAAAATATTTTTTTGTACAGCATATCTCACCAAGAATTTTTCTACTTCGTTCTGCAGCAGTTCTTCGGGTTTGTTCAAACATTGCAGTGAAGTCAAATGTTCGAGCTTTCTTTCCTAGATAGAAGAAAGAAGAATCTAATTTCTTAGAAAGTGATATTAAAAGAAAACATCCCTAGGCAATCTCAAAATACCACTATATGAAACTCAGTGAGAACTGGTTGCCTTACCAGGATGAATCCCACAACCCTCCAGCAGGCCATGCTGACTGAGAATTACAAACATAATTCAGCCCACCTGAAGATTAAGGAATGCTGTGGTAAATAATATATATATTTTACAATGCAATCCTATATTGCATACTGTGCAAAAGTCACACAAAGTTAAGGGACTTATTACAGGTAAATATATTTAAGATTGCAACTTTTATTAGAACAGCCCTGCTATCAGAAACCAAAGGAGACTCTGAGAATCAGTTTCCTGCAATCAGACACTTCAAAGAGACTCAAGTATGGATTTTAAAATAATGTTTCCCAATAAGTATATTCTTGCTTTTCTTACTTATATATGCAAAACAGAAAAATACTGATAGATTAAAAATTCTTGCTATATTATTTCAAATGCTTGATATCTGCAAGCCTAAAATATTAAGATAGTAAATTAGAATGATCAGTTTTATTGCCAGAAACAAACCAACAGATGAAAATTCTCACTCAACAAGTCTCTTTATATACCAAAGAATTTACATAAAAATAACTTCATCCCACCAACTTTCCAGGATCTGACTGGCTCCCAGAATTATTTTCAGGATGAGATAACCAGACCACGAAGAAAAGATATAAATCTGATGTTGATATCATTTAGTTACTTAGCCATGGATAATAAAACTATTTTTCCATTCTTCTATAATTAACACCAGAATAACTTAGACATACTTCCACACAGGAAATATGTGGAAATATGTGAAAAACAGATGGACAACTTAAAAGACATGAGAAAATACACTTTAAATAAAGGACCAGGCAGCATAACATGGAATACAGATTCCTTTTTCTTAGAATATTCAGAATGTTTACACTTAAACATTGGACTACAGAACAGAAAAATTCCAGCCTGTGGCATGAAACATTGCTTTATCAGCCAGCTGATATTAAGGGTCTTTCTAAAGCAATAGAATTAATCTTCTTCCTTATCTCAGCTTTTGCAAGATATATTTTTAAAAAATCATTTTTTAAACTTCATGCATCACACAATACACTCACAATGGTAGGAATGTTTATGCAGTGACTTAGCTGCTGGCCTGCTGTTTTTTTCCTGTTATTGTAAATTCTAGTTGTGTAGGTTAAAAACTAATCATATTGTGAAACTTTTCTTCTTGGGGGGGTGGGTGGGTTTGAGGGAACTTATGTTAAGAGCTTTACAAAATTCAAAAGTTAAGGACAAGCTGTCCTAAACACTGGTTAATCTTATTGAAATGGAATAGGGAGTGTGGGGAGGTAGCTTTTCATATTCTGCTGCTTTTTATAGCAGGTGTGTGTGTGTTTGTTTGTGTGTGTGTGTGTGTTTGTGTGTGTGTGTGTGTGTGTGTGTGTGTGTGTGTATCAGAAGCAGCGCTAGAATAACTGAGAAGATGAAGGCATTTGCAGTTGGAAATAGGAGTCCTCCAGAAGAGACATCCAGAATACAGCTAAGATAGAAATACCTTCTAGTCCAGCGGTCACCAACCAGTGGGCTGTGAGAAAATTTTGGTGGGCCGCAGAGAAATCTCACCCCCAGAGCACCCCCACAAAGCAATGAATCCAGGCTGTGCAGAAACTCAAGGCTGTGCTGCCCACATGGCCCGCAGGAACCCTCCCTGCCCACTCACTCCTTACCTGGTAAACTTGCCTGCTAAATGGCTATCTTTCCTTTTTCCGACCATCATCTGTTCTGCTGTGCCGGGAGATTTAGATTAGCTAGGAAGCAGGAAATGGTTGGATTTCTTGCTTTCTAGCTAGTCTTTAGATCGTCGGCTCTGCACAGCCCAATGCTTGCAAGCAAATTCAGTGCAGACTCATGGCAAGCAAATTTGAGAGATTGAGCTAGCCGATGGCAGATAGATAGATAGATCACTGAATGATTCTGTGAGCAACTTAATCTGCCTGCTTTGCCTGATTTGGGGTAAAAGTTGCTCTTTTTTTCAATAAAAAATTCACTATTTACATGAATGGTGTGTTGTGAGTTAATTTTGTGAGTTTGCTTGCAAGCAAATTTTATGTGACTGGGCTAGCCAATGGAAGATAGACTGGACTAGCCAATGGAAGATAGATAGATTTCTGAATGAATCTGTGATTCTGTGAGCAACTCAATCTGCCTGCCTGCTTTGCCTGATTTTGGGTAAAAGTTGCTCTTTTTTATAAAAAAAATCAATATTTATATAAATATTTATAATATTTACATACAAGCCATGCCCAGCCAGTCACATGACCAAGCCACACCCACAAATTAGGCCATGCCCACAGAACCAGTTAGTGGTCCCTGGGATCTAAAATTATGAGTTTGGTGGTCCCTGAGGTCCAAAAGGTTGGCTGTTCTAGTCTAAAGCAAGGGTTTTCAAACTTGGCAAGTTTAAGACTTGTAGACTTCAATTCCCAGAATTCCTGAGCTAACATGACTGGAGGAGGAATTCCTGGAGTTGAAGTCCATAAATCTTAAAGCAGTCAAGTTTGAAGACACCCCCCCCCCTCTAAAGCAAAAAAGAAAGAAAAAGAGGAATCTGAGCAATGAAAAAGCCTCCAAAATTATTACTTTATTGCAGAGATACAGCTGCCAAGCTGAGAAATCTGAAAAGGAGGGTCTCCGGTTGATACTGAACACAGTTATTCTTCAGCCCGTAGATTGCCAAAATTTGGGATTCAGTAACAACTGGAAGCCCCCCCCCCCTCCTCTCCACCTCATGCATCCCTGGGCTTCAAAAGCCCCCGAGCATCACCAGGTCTTGCTGTTTCGGGGTGGGGTGGGGGAATCTATGGGGCCAAATATAAACATTCCTGCCCCTGTCAACTTTCAGCAAGGTAAGTAAGGGCGTCCAGGATTTGCAGAAACTATACCCCCCTCACCCCCAGAGCCCCGTCCCTCCAGGGGGACCCCCGATTCACGTAGAGATCTGCATGAAGTTTTGCATCCCACCCCACCTCTCTCCTTCTCGTCCCCCGCGGTTCTCCTCCAACTTACCGAAGCCCGAGAAACCCATCGTAGCCGCCAGCTCCGGATCCGGTCCTGCCATCTGCTCGGCTTCTGAAAGGAGACAGATACATTCAGCTCTCTTTCCCTGCGAGCCTCTGCGGAGGAGGAAAGAGAAAGCAACACGCCTGCCCACTCACCGTTCTCCATCGCGGGCTGCTGCATCCCAAACGCAGGTTAAAACTCTGCCGGAGCCACCACCGAAAACCACAGGGAGGAAGCGGCGCTTTGGAAGAAGAAAGGGGCGTCTCCTTGCTTGGGAGAGTATAGAGGCCTCTAGCGGCCGGAGGGGGAAATGACCGGAGAGAGCAAATTCAATTCAATTCAGTTTATTACAGCCCTAGACTAGAGACCAGAGACCAAGACAGAGCGAGTTTAGGGAAGCGGTTAAGGCACCAGGGTAGAAGCTGGGAAGCTATCATCAGTCGATCTCTCTCTCTCATCCCTAGGAAGCAGACAATGGCAAATCACTTCGGAGGAAACTGTAGGGATAAGTCCATGTAGTCGCTTTAAAAGAAGTGTCTGTGCACCAATGGAACTCCTGAAAGACCAGGTTAAGGGGAAAAAATCACCATGGAAAAATATGTCTATGATCACTAGGAATCAGCAACAACTTGATGGCATATAATCAATCAAACATAGACTGTGAACGGGTTTGTATATGAACTTAACACCGATTTCAGCACTAGAGTCAAAACTAGTCAAAACAAGATTGTCTGTGCCACCCTATAGACTTAACAAGACAGACAGCCTGGTGTAAGAAGGCTGTGAATTCTAATCCCATTTTACTTAGGTGATCTTGGACAGGTCAGTCTTTCTCAGCTCTATGAAGGAGGCAATGGCAAATCATTTCCGAAATCTCGCGGAAAGCAAACGCTGGGAAGGAGTCAACTCTGTTCATCAAGGGTCAATTAACCCACACAGAGACAGACCTGAGTCATCCTTGCTCCATCCAGAGAAATGTCTTTTCTGTCTTGTAGAGTAAGTAGGATTAAACTGCAGCACAATGCTGCAGGCCTTGATCAAGTCTCATTTGTGATTTCTTGAACATGGCTCAAGATTTTCTTGGCCAGAACAGTGAATGGCCATGACCTTCTCCTGTATTGTGGACTTCCCAGCTTATTCTGTACTTTCGGGATGTCATGAAGGTCTCCCATTCAAGTACTAATCAGATCTGGCCATGCTTAGCTTCTTCTGCCAGCCAAGGTCAGGTCAAGCAGGTGCTGCACCTGTGGAGATTCTGCAGAATGATGCACACTGAATACAGAGGTGTATGCGTATGTGTACTAATTTCTCGAATTTATATAGTTGCCCATCTCACATACATGACTTATAAGTGAGACCTACCAGAGATAGGAGGATAAGTTGTCAAGTATTTGGCATGTTGGAATCAATGCATTCTTTTGAATAAAATACTCAGTAACAAAAATGCCATGTAATTTAAACCAGCATTTCCCAAATCCCAATCCACCTCGTGGCTGAAAATAGACAAGCAGTGCTTTTACCACATGCTTAAAATGTATTACATTTGGAAGCATGGACACTAGAGGAGGGCAAGAGTACAGGTAGTCCTCAACTTATGGCCAAAATTGAGCCCAAGATTTCTGTTGTCAATGAGACATTTGCTAAGTAGATTTTGCCCCATTTTATGATCTTTCTTGCCACAGTTGTTAAGTGAATCACTGCAGTTAAGTTAGTAACCTAGTTGTTAAAAGAATCTGGCTTCCCCATTTACTTTGCTTGTCAGAAGGTCGCAAAAGGTGATCACATGACCATTGGGACACAGCAACGATCATAAATATGAACCACTTGGATTTCGGTCACATGTTCATGAGGATGCTGCAAAGGTCATAACTGTGAAAAATGGTCATAAGTTACGTTTTTCAGTGCCATTGTAACTTTGAACGGTCACCAAAAGAACTGTTGTTAAGTCCTGGGCTATCTATATCTCCACATCTGCATTGAGTCTGCGTGAAGAGGAGCAGTATATTTCCACATGACATTCCAAGGGACCAAAAACTGGGAATGACACTTTTTCCTCTTTTTCTTCCCCTCCCAGCTGCTGTCAGTTTCCTGGGCGCCTCGCGCTGCTCCGGGCAAGAAACAGTCGCGCTCTTCACAAGCCCCGCCCTCCAGTCAGAGTAAGAGGGAATTCCTCGCCTCTCTTCGACCCAACAGGCCGGAAGTGTGCGTTTGTGATTCCTCTCTAGAAGCTTTGCTCCTCTCTGACCAGCCGCCGCGTTGGGCGGGCGGGCGGGCGAGCGCGCGGGGGTTGCCGGGATTGCCCGCGAGGCGCGCGGTTCCTCAGCGGCCCGCGTTGACCCCCTTGAGAGGCCGGGATTTTCTCCGCCGCGGTCATGCCGGTCGCTCTGAACCCCGCGGCCGCCCCGGCCCTTCAGGAAGCCCTGGAAAACGCGGGGCGTATTATCGACCGGCAGATCCAGGAAGACCGGTGCTACCCAGACCTCTCGGAGTTGCTGAACGTGCCCGCGCCCGGTGAGGAATGCCTTGTTGGGAAGCATCGGACTTTCCCTCCTGGGCGACTACAGCGCCCATAATTTTCGCCCGGCATGCATGCTTTTCCGAGGAATCCTGTAATTTTGTGCAAGGCACCCACTTTTTCCTGTTCTACCACCTTTTTTAGTGACACCCCTTTTCAGTGTCGCACCTCTGACTGCAGTGATTAAATCGCTTTTTTTTTAATTAAATCGTATTGCCTAATGGTTAACTGTCCACTCTTACCAACAGCAGTCTCGTCTGAGGGTGCCTCTCCGAAACTTAATGTAGCTTTGCCAATGGCAGAAGTATAGGTAGCCCTATACTCAGGATCACAATTCATCATCTTTTAACAACCCCATAATCCCTTGTGGGGTGGAGTCTGGGCAACTAAATGGAGCTAGCAGAGTGTTTACTGGCCGGATGCCCTTCCTGTCGCCAATGCAGAGTTTTGTTTAGTAGATATGTTCTCACTATGCCCAGAGAGAGAAATACCTGCCTCTACCTAGGATGGAACTCACAGCCTCCTGATTGTGAAGCAAGAGTTCCACCTCTAGGCCATTGCACCACTTCTACTTAACGCCCACAATTGACCTCAAAATGTATGTTGCTAAGTGAAAAGTTTGTTGAGTGAGTTTTGCCCCATTTTACGACTTCTCTTGCCGCATTTTTAAAAGTGAATCATTACAATTGTTAAGTGAATCTGGCTTCTCTATTGACTTTGCTGGTCAGGAGGTTGCAAAAGGTGATCACATGATCTGGGGACATTGCAAACTTTCATAAATATGACTTAGAATAATGTTATTATCACTTTGAATGTACACAAATCGGCATACATTAAAATGAAATTTCGTTGCATACAGCTGAACCAGTTGTCAAGCATCCAAACGTAAATCACATGACTGTGCGGATACTACAACGGTCATAAGTGTGAAAAATGGCCTTAAGTCACTTTTTCAGTGCCATTGTAACTGAATTCACCAAGTGAACTGTAAGTCAAGGACCACCTGTATTCATATGCTTTTATGATGGGACATGGGGAGAATAATCTGTCTCTCCTTTGCTGTCACATGACAAAATAGAATGATCCAATGAAACTTAAGAATGGAAAATAGGATATATTAAAAATAAAAGCAGTTAATAACTACAACAATAAAGCTGAGTAGTCGGGTCTAATTTTTTGGATAACCATAGTCAGGCTGCAAGCTAAAAGTGATTGCAAATATATTGTTTCCAAAAAATTACAGCGTAAAATTTACCAACATGGGAAGGTTTTAAAAACATCATTTCACTTTTAAAAACCAAAAGGATTCAGTTGAATGAAAAGGTTTACATTTGGCTTTGAAAAAGTAAGATACATGTCAGGTAAACCTGATGGTTATCTTGCAGCCAGCCTGCCATATGTATATGATAGAAATATATTCCAGATTTAAATTTGATATTTTTAATAAGGTAGCCAAGCAGTTTCTAAGCAGATGGCAGTTAATTTGGCTGATCTCGAGATCAGTCATCAGTGTGGTTGGTTGTGTCATCTTTTTTAACCTAAATCCAAGGAAGCTGTTCTGGGGGTAAAATAAGTGTCTAATAGAATGAGAGAAAATAAATTTAGTCAGTTGAAAGGCAGATTAAAGATTCAGTTCAGGTATGTGTGAATTCCTCTAGCAAAAAGGTAACTCTGAGGCATGCAGCCATAAAAGAAATCAAAATATTCCAATATAAAAATAAGAACAAAACCCACAGTCAAAGCATGCAAAGACACATTGCTTCCCAAAATAACTCACCTAATTCCTCGTCCCAATGCCTGAAGTAACATCCAGGTCTTCAAAGATATCGGTGACTGTGGAATCCTTTTAGAACATATATTTGGGCTGATTTTTCAGAAGGTTCTAATCTTTTTTTTAAAAAAATATTCCTTGAAGAATTGTGCCCCCCTCCCCCAAATTTCTCTCAGATTTTTCAGAGGTAACTTCTTATAAGTAAATAGACAAACAGAAACAGAAATATCAACCAAAAAATACTAGGAAAATCATTTATGTACTGTATCTCATCAGAGTTACATATTGGTATAGCAGTATTTTTGTTGTGTCTTCTTACTGTTTCTTTTTTCATTCCCCTTAATTACAGGTAGTCCCTCAGTTTCTGGCATGTCAGATATGGATTATCCATTACAGGGGCCTGGCTTCCTTTCCATTCCCTGCCTTCCAGAAATAAGTTCAATTCGAAGAGTTCCTTTACCCCATGAACTTGTTGAGCAATTTGGACGTATCCTCATTTTGATATTAGTGAAATGTTATGACAAAATTTTATCTCAAAGATTGAAAAATGTATTAGAAAAGTATATTTTTATTAATTTTGAAGGACTGAGGTGTTGGTACTTTTTAAAAATTATAGTTCAGAAAAGGAATTTTGTCCTGTGGATAATTCCCCCCACCCCCCCCCCCCCCCCCCCCCGAATAGACTTTAAAAATTTACATAAATTTGTGCCAGATAATGTTAAAACTCTCAGAAGTTGAAGCATTAAAACTCTCAGAAGTGTAGCATTAAAAATGTATTTTCAGGTTTGAGTGCCCAGCACAATACTGCAATCTGGATTTATATAGTTGCCCTGATCTCTTCTTGTATCAGGCAATATCTTCTAAGTTCCATGTATTTATTCCTTAAAACTGGGTACCTCAGATATGCAATGTAACTGTATGATGGGAGTGTTTCCTGAAATCAGTAGAGCATGGTTGACTATTGATAGTGACA